TCCAGAAAGGAGTACCGCATTAGCCACTGAGTTCTACTCCAACCCTCCAATAACAACTGAGTATTTGATTCCGCTTTTTTTTACCCCATTGTTTATCGGATGAGTCATACTCTGGCTCGCATTTCAAAGCTGAAAACGAATGAAGGATGGTTTTCCATGATTGGCATAATATCACATTGTGTTCACCGGGCCATCTGAATCATGTCCATTTCGAGGCCTATGATGCAACCAGCCCTCGTGTGTTTTATCCATAGTCTGGATATTTTCAGACCCCGGTGGCAATCTAGGCTGCATTTTGAAAAAGATTAAATGGGAATGGGATGTACTGATAAACCCGGCATCTAGTCCGATAAGAAACATGTGTTATGCGGGGTGGTTTGATAAACATTCCCACCAAAAGCTCGAAATACGTGTTTGCTCGCTGGGGATGTGTACTGCGGTCGTTATTGGATGCCAAGCAATATTCAAGCAAACGGTAATGAATCTTTTTGGTCAAAATGTATTACCGAAATCTACAACGTAGTTGCAAGATGGCTACGATCCCAATGAGTTTGGTTAATCTGCCATGTACTGTAGAGTTAGCCCGACCTCAATAGAGAGGACTTGATGAAGTTGAGAGGGGATAAACTAATGAGTTTGCATTGTAATGCTCGAATTTCTTACTTTTACCAGATCCATTGCTGTTTATGTGTAAAGATGGCAACAGAAATCCTAAACTCACCGTCCTTGTTGTACCAGTACAAATGCAGAGAAAGGATCGGAGCTCCAAGATTGGTTCGGACACAGTTGAACTCTGGTTACAAAGACTGCACACAGATTTCGTTACTGTTATGTTCAGTTCCCTAAGCAAATTCACTTCCAGGCAACCTGGCTCGAAGATGACTCCAGTTCGTCTGGCAATGAGATATTTGTAGATATTGCCCAATCCAGCTCGATTACACATCACAGTGAAGTTGTTGAGAACTGCATATCGACGAACTGCAGTTCGCTTACAAGGGACGGCGTGCAGACATTAATGAATGTGAAGTTAAATAGTACAAAAAAAGGAAGAACTGTACGCGAACCCTCGTTTAATCTGCTCTAGCCATTTGAAACCTGCCTAGCTTGGCGGACCTCCGATGATCATAGTCCGAAATGACTCTGAACTAGTGAAATACACTCATTTGCAAACTGCTTGGGTTTTTCGAGAGACTCAAGTGGAACCCAGCTGAATCACTCGTTTGCGATGTTTCCAGGCAACTGAATTTGCTGCACTAGGTCGCCTTATGTTTCAGTTGCTACGATATTCGAGATATCGCGATACGTGTGTATTCGCAATGCATTACTCATAAGGTTGCTGAAAACACTTCGACAGACCACGACCGGTTTCGCCCTTCTTGGGGCTCATCAGGTAGGCGCAATCCCCGATTTTACATCAACCTTATGTTCTACTTGAAACTAAATTGCACGAAATTAGCGAAATACACTCATTTACTAACAAATTTGGTTTTCCGAGCGACTCACCTGGAACCCAGCTGAATCGCTTGTTTATGACGTAACAATTAAAACATGAGGAGGGTGCATGTGCTATGAAAGAGCCTTACACAGGAACACTATCAACGTCCCACACTACCAGTTGATCATAAGGACAGAAAATCATCCAACTGTACAGTTTTGCCAGCCATTTATAGTGGCTACCATGCAGTTGTGTATGTTTGAACGTGTCAGACCAATAACACGTTAAATGGGAATTGGGAAGGTGTAGGGGCTCTTGGTTCTACCTCGTGTTACAAATGGTGGGAGGGGGTCGTCAGATGTGTTCTGTAAAGTACTTTGGTCCCGAGATGGCTCAGTGATAAGAACGCGAATCTACTGACCGGAAGGTCCGTGGTTCGAACCCGAACTCTGCCTCTCGACGTCGAAGGCTTAGGCAATCTGGCAGTATCCCAGCCCTCATGCTTCCTTCTGGTAGCATGACAGTTGGGCAACGAAAGGTTGTTACAGGTGAATGACTTTTTTTGGTCTAAGACATGACCGTTACCAGAAGCATGTTGCTAACTGATGGATTGCTTTGGGATTACTGTTAATTTGAAGTATCTAGAAAATGTGCTTCTTCTTCTTCTCAGTGCACTTCGTATTAAGGAAGGAAAAAAATATAATTATTCGTTAAGCCGCAGTATATCATCGATGTAGCCGTTTAACAGAAGTGAGTTCAGTCGTTCAACTGCAGCGGTGTAAAGCTGAAATGCAAATCAAAAGAAGCACGAAATCTGGACAGCCGCTAGATTGATTGAGCATCCTCCACCACACAGGGACAGTTGACAAATCGGTCGAATTCGGAAGACTGACCTCCGGGTCATTGGATCCGTTACTTAACCGGTAAACCATTTTGAGCACTAGGAAGGAGATACTGCAACGTCGACGAACCCTAGAAGGCAGCAACATAACACTGAGTGGTGGATTCCGAACGCCAACCATTTGACGGGAGTTTCGGCCTCAGCAATATCAAGTGTATCCAGTGCAAAAATTTTACATAAGAATACCAATGGTTTGCTTTACCACTAGGTCAGTATGTATGATACACGACGAGACAAAACTATGGAATAGCTCCGGCTTTGTAGTTGTCAAAAATGTCAAGTGTGAACTAGAAAACAACCTTATTATGCCTAAAGATCGCCAAGACAGTCTAATTCTCCTACACGTAGCCGCTCAACAGCCTGGCCGACACAGCAACAAATCTCAAGGCCCATGATTAAATGAACGTACTGGCGGCTGGTTCGAGCTGGCAGTGTTAGTTCGATTGTTCCTGCTATCATCGGTGCTGGCTTTTCCCTATAGGTTACCGTGACTGACAGTTACATGAGTGGAACGTACTGATTCTCTCTGTACCTTCGTCGTACTTCTTACCATCTGTCGTAATCACATCTGAATGACTTTTACTCACAAGGTAGCAATGACTTTGCGTTATCAGTTCTCATCCTAGTTCTCTTTCACCCAAGGTACAATCCGGAACGCAACGCATCAAATTTGTGTTCGTTCAGACCACAGAAATGATGCTTGGGAGTTGTGACCCGCGATGAAATCAAGTGTCTGATTTAAATCAGAAGAGGAAGTTTCCAGGTTCCGCGAAACGCATCTTAGTTCACTTGGTATAACAAAACGAGTGGAACAACCTTGGAACGCCGAAAGATGTTACAGCCAGACAAGGAGCGTAACCGTTCCGAATGAACCAAAAGAACTTAATTCCTTGAAAGCGGACAAACAGTGAATGATTCACCTTGCTTCAAAATCAAATACGTATTTATCAGACCTGAGATCGGAATTGGGCGTCCATGTAGTTACCAAGACAGTATAGAGAATCCCCAAGGCTGCACCATTTCTGAAGTAGAAGAAAGCGGTGAGGTCTATTGGGTACATATGACTTCAGATCCAGCACCGTTTATCTTGGGTAAGGACTCACGCTACCTGGAAACGTAAGTGGAACTCCTGCTTTCAGTGATGACAGGTTTAGCTCGAACGTGTCAGGTGCACGGAATTGTCACTGAAATAACGAAATCAGTCGCAATCGACGGAGGCCTTTGGAACTGGTGACTTAATAATACCGAATAACAACTAGGTCCACAAAATGTACGGTCAAGTATCGGACCGTTTCATGTTGCATCTATTTGTCACGGGTAGACGAAAGTAAGTGGTGCTTTAACAAAGCAAGAGATCCCACCTTTTAAAGTGTATCGGAGCGTTGTATAGAGGATTCGAGAAGAAGTGGTCAAAGTACATTCCCTTACGAGGAGGAGACGGCCCCCTGTCTTTGCCGCACCAATGCTTCAGCTACTTTTCTTCTACGGGATATCCCCTAATAATAATCGGGCAACCCGTAAATGTGTTTTCCGACCGTATTAGTTAACTTCGGATAGGAAAATGTGCCATTCAATCGTCTAAGAGCGGAGATATCGTCAACACTAGGTGGTGATTTTCTCGCGCGATGCAGAATAATCATTCAGCTGTGACGCTTTTTCGGTGCCCAGTTGCCATCATACCCGAAGCAAGCACGAGGGCTGGGATACTGCCATGTTGCCCAAAACTAGACAGGCAAAGTCGAGATTCAGAGGTTGGGTTCGAACCACAGACTTTCTGGTCAGTGAATTCGCGCTCTAACAACTGAGCCATCCAGCGCGGTGCAGTCAAGCCACCCATACCTGCCTGCATATGCCTTTCATGAACTCACGTGAACACGAAGGCCAACAGGCTAATAGGCCAATAGACTAACTTGATTCTAAATGCTGACCTTCAAGTTAGCCTTACATGGACAAAGCTACTAGGTTTTTGTGTCGAAGTCGTTTAGAATACTATCAACATCTGACGCAGACACCTTTGTGGATCGTCCCGGCCTCAGGCGAACCGGGGAGGTGACTAGAGTATTTTATGTAAAGGGGATTCTGAATCACTCACCTTCACTATCCTTACTCCGTAGACTTTATGGATGTTGACTGTGGAAACTTCAGCCTTGGGTACTTTGGGAATGCACGTGAAATTCACATGAGCGCAGCTGTTGATTAGCCGCCACAGAAACCAATACTCGAGACGTCAGGACCTGCTCGCTATACGATCAAAATCAAGCGTTCCTCCAAACTTAATAACTGCCCCTTCCAACGACGCTAAGGATGCAGGATAACTAAACCAGGTGGGTGTACCATTCCATACTACTCTTTGCAAGGGGCGAATTATGCGAGACTTCACTGTCACCCCCTGGAAAGCCGCAGACAGCTTATTAGTGGTATATAGACCGCCCAACCATACGGAATATACTGCACTCACCCAATTCGTGAAGAATTCCACGGATGCATTGGAACCGCTTTATATTGACAAATTTCATCTTTGGCGAAAATAAATCGGACTTGGACAAAGTTCACAGGTTCAAATGGAAAAAGAATCATGGCGCGAATAAGTTCTCTGGTAAACTGGTCGTTGGTGTTTGTGTAATTGGGGCAGGACTCCGTAGAAAACGAATGCTCTGTGTTGTTTCACACAGTTCGTGTGCACACATTGCGCGACAGATGTACTTTAAGGTGATCACTACGTTTGAACCGCCGCTGACATACTTTGCAAAAGAAATTGCGTTCTCCAGTGTGTGCGCGACGATGTCGGGAGAGTTGGTCGGCTCGGGTGAAGCGGGCCCCACAACCAGGCTGGCCGCATAAATGCGGCTTCAAGCCCGTATGCAAATGTGAGTGTTCGTTCAAGTGGGATCGCTTGTAGTAGGCCTTGGAACATCCTGGGTATGTACATTGGTATTTCTTCTCTCGGATGCCTGATTGCCCAGTTGAGGAAACCGGTTCCATATTACGATTGTTGCTAGACTCTACGGGAGATGTGGTCTCGGGTGGTGGTTTCCTTCGAGCTCTCCCCATGTTGTTCGAAGAGGTGGGTGCACCTCGGGATGCATTCAAACGATTAAAATCCGACAATTCACTGGGAGAAGGTGAATCTGGCAATGTTAAGTTCGATGAAACGGGAGCTGCTAAACGTGGATATGTCTGAGTGGATGGAATGAGTGAATGTAATAAAAGCTGCGTTGCTGCGGCAAAGTACAGCATAGGGTTGAATGCAGTGACATTTGGGGATGCACCAGAAGCCATCGGCGCACGTGGTGTCGTGGCCGGTGACGCGAGCCTAGGCGGTATGATCCTCGAAGCACTGAATAATGCCGTCATGTAATCCACCGGAAAGGGTTGTGTCATGTAAGGGTGCACCACGGACGTTAGGGATGCCGGATCCGGAGTTGTGATACAAGGGCTTCGGACACAGGGGCTCATCAACCTGAATTCATTTTGACTGGATGGCGGTCCCACTGTTCGAGGGTTGAAACATGAAACGGAGGGCACCTGAGTTGGTCCAGCTGGTAGAGGTGTATCCATGACTGTCAGACTGTGAGTAGTTCACTGCGATTGGGATACAATGAGCAGCTCATGGGCTACGAACTGCACTCCATTTCGCACAAGAAATCGATTGTGGGACCTGTAATGTCAATTCACCATCCAACTGAACGCGAATGGCCCCAAAACCGGACCCGTCCGGCTGCTGGTGCGTTTGTCCGCAGTCTGCTAGCGAATTCTCACACCCGGGTTGAAAATCTTCCACTCGCTTAGCGGCGCTCGACAGTGATTGGCCAGTTCTAGGTCACAGGCGCGTCACACGCTCGCAAACCGGGGAGTGGCTGCGGATTCGTGAGGCTTGAGGGTGAGACAAACAATGGACCTGGGGGCACGTCAGTCTGACTGTGGCGTGGCGTGCACATCACCCATCTACCCAGACAGACAGCGGACGGTGAAACGCGTGCAGCTTCCACCATAGTCCGCGTACTTCTTGTGGACCGGACAGTTTCCGCTGCACCTGCGAGTGAGATACAGCCCGTGGAGTTGAGTCAACGGCCTGAGAACGGATGCAAAGTGGGCAGTCAATGCGTCGTGTGAGCAGTGTGACAATTCGGCGTTGCTCTGTCGACACTCCTGCCCGTCGAGAATGCAAACCAGGGCGATGGCTGTAGCGCAACCTTAAGGTTTGTGTTGATCGGGAGGAAGAGTGAGTATTGGGGCATACACGAATTACACCGAAAATAAGGCCGTAGACCTACTGACAGTTTTGGAAATATCTTTATGCTGAACTCTAGTGGTGGATAATTTCGGCCACCTTTTTCGTCCACTACCTATGGCTTTCAGCTATCAGAATAAGGACTCCGAGCTCCCGTTCTTGTCGCTGTGGCCCACCAGAAGGAGTAGTTAGAATATCGACAGAATCCCCTTGAATGTTATCTAGCCAAAATGCAAACAACACTTGAAAAAGTTCTAACACTGTTCGTGGTTCGCTTCACTAGTCCAAGTTGTAGAGTTCTGCTGCAATGCAGGTAGTGATCAAACCCGAACCTGATGCTTGTAAACGAGTCTATTGATGTTGTGGTAGTCTAGCTTAACATCATATATGCATCAGCATCAGTAGGTCCAGGTGACTTTTTTTAACCTGTATCATCTGTGGTGTAGACGTGAATCAACTCGTCTATCAAGCGTCGGGATTAGCGTACCGCGATGAGCTCCCTGTTGTTGTAGGAAACCTGGTCGTTAAAAGCCGAGAACGTTAGGAAAAACCAAGTGTCTTTGGAGCATTGCCCGAGTCTGGTGAGGACATCGGATCAGTAATGTTTGAGTAGGTTGAATGGTTACTGGAGAAGATGACTCGCACTGTATAGATGGGCTGATCATACTTCACAAGCTACACTGACTCGACCACGTGCACATGTCGGTCTCCTGGATTCTGCACGGAGACCGAAACCATGAGGACGATAGAAACATGCAAGGGAAGATCAAGCAGTAACTTGGCAGTGAAGTATAAAAACCATCACCAGCAAACTAAGCTGCGCTTGACATTGCCATTTCTCCGGATGGGCACCCCGGGACGGAATACATCAGTGTTTGAAAACTTTAATAGGTATGGCTCTGTCGCCCGCTCAATGGCCTGCATATGCTCAAGGTGTTTCTTTAATGCGTAAAATTCCCTCTCCATATTCCACTGAAACTCTACTGCCACTCCTGGATGAACGTGAACGATGACACTTGATATGTTCTATCTTTAGTTCCTGGTTTCTTTTTCTCAGCATATCGACTGTGACGGTTATAATCACTGATGGTGATGATGATGGATAGATCAGTTGCCAGACTTATGGGATCTGTTGGTGAAATTGACCAAGTGGACGAGCGCTTAAGACAAACCATATCGTGTTGACGGCACACACTGCTAAAGGTTCGTCGACAGCCCATAACCGGTTTCGCTCTTCCTGATGCTCATCTGGTAGACGCAACCCCCGAACTTTCCGTGAATTTGTTACCACAAATCTCGAATATTGTACCGAGTGAAACAAGAGGCAAACTTTTTGCATAACATTCAGCTTAGGAATGTCACAAACGAGATATTCAGTTGGGGTTTAGTCGAGTGTCCGTCGAACCAGTGTAATCTGCGACGTCTGTGACCAACTGAGTGCAATCTGGCGCCTAAGTGAAACTTAAGTTGGACGGAAACTTCGGAGCTGTACCCATCTAATGCGTTCCAAGAACAAGCAGAAGAGTCTTAGATTGTGGGAGAGTTCCGAAAAACCCAGTGAATAGTGTTTTCTGTCAAGACAATGTTTGACTAAGTTTTCTTGCGTCAACGTGTAATGATCTCGCCGAAAAACTCACCTTTAATGTATTACTCCATCGAAAGAGCAGTCTGAATGATCCAATGGCGTTTATTCATGCACTACAGGATTATTTGACGTTGGACTCCCACAGAACAATGATCTCTGGTAAGCTAATTAGTTGGTCAGCACCCAAAGGATCTACTGTTCATTTGTAATGTACTACTGATAAGGTTGCTGAAAATCCATCGACAGCCCACGACCGGTTTCGCCCTTCTTGGGGCTCATCAGGTAGGCGCAGTCCCCGGGTTTCCGTCAATCTTATGTTCTACTTGAAACCAAATTGCACGAAATCAGCGAATATACACTCATTTGCAAACGAATTTGGTTTTTTCGAGAGACACCTGAAACCCAGCTGAATCTCTCGTTTATGATGTTCTCAGGCAACTGAATGTGTTGCACCAGGCCGCCTCATGTTTCAGTCGCTACATTCAGTTGCCTGAGAACATCATAAACGAGAGATTCAGCTGGGTTTCAGGTGAGTCTCTCGAAAGAACCAAATTCGTTTGCAAATGAGTGTATATTCGCTGATCCACTGTTCGCTGTTTCACTATGGGTTCCCAACTGCATTGAGCATGAAACAGTTTGGAACCGCGATCAATGTTTATACGTTCTCCATTTGTAATAGAGAAGACATTGATTGTTCTTTGCTGCCAGCTACATATATGCGTGCTGATGGCAAGCGCTGTGAGTACATCGTTCATGTACTCACATGTTCGTCTGTTCCAGTCTGAGTAATTCAGTGCACGTAGGCAGCGTAGCGTTGGGTTCGCAGGTCAGCTGATTGGGGTCCAATAGTCACGGCAAGGGCCAAAGGTGTTCAACAGTGATGAGCTCCGGTAAGATAAAAACTGGAGTTTGAGGCCCTTCTCTTGGTGTGAACCGGCCAAAATCTGAGAGCCAATTTTCAAACAAAAGACAACGCTGATGCATAATGAGGTTATGATAGGAGCCCCGTCCATTTTGTTTGTTGGAAGTCACAATCTATTGGCAGTCCAACATGTTATGTCTGGAGTAATTCTGAAGACAACCAACCCTGGTAAGTGGAATGCCACAAAACAGCCTGAGTTCGCACCCCTAAGAGGCTGAAGTGTCAGTCAGTTTTGGATACAGTGCATTCTTATACACAAACGCGTGTATTGAACTGTTGTCCAGTGCAATCCGTCTCGTTTCTATACCCTCAGACAACGTCATCCTAGATTTTGGCCATTTCGCAATTTATCGTCTTCATGTTACCCAACGTCATCATCGGTAAGACGAACCATTTGATTCGTTAGTTGGCGCGCTTAGCATCATCTCATTTAGTTTCTTACTGTTTTGTTGGTGGCTTTGCTTGTATGGAGGCCCTGTATTATAGTGGAAATTAGATGAGGGGATTGCGCTGTAATTTGTGCGTGAGAAAATGTGAATACAGCTCACTTTCTCGAATATGGTCCGGATGGATCTTCCTGGTTGTGAACGATTAGGCCCCACGGTACATGTGATCCCAATGGGCATACCAAGGCAACTACACACACGACGGTCAACATGGAGATGAGCTCACTTGTACGAGCTTCTGATGTAGGTTGTGAGCTTGTAGCTACCCTTTCGCCACATACATGACTGTACAGGTCACCACCACTCGCTAGATCACGAGATCTATCTTTTTTTTCTTGCACTCACAAATCAGGCCACACAACCGTGACTGACTTGACTACACAGCTCACAGTTCAAACCCTAATCCCAAGATCTCGTTTTTTTTCCTACACGTACAAACCATGATACACAAGGATGACTCATCCGATATCGACTGTCAACCCTTTGATACGGTAGCAACAAGTCATGTGCTGATACCCACACGCACGCAAACGTCCTACAAATAGGATGCCAGCACAGCAACATGACACGACTCAACGGAGCTTCGCACGTCACCCAGCTCTGAGCAGAGCCGATTGAGAATTACGGCACTTCGCTCACGGATTTTCAAGAATACATGTGGCTGCTACAACAGCGAAGAAAACACGAAACCTGCATCCGGACTCATAACAGGATTTACCAACCTGAATCTGCAATACGATAAGTCCCCTTGTTTGCATATATACCTGTTGTAATAATTTTACTCAACAAGTAGACATTGTTAGTGCTCTTCGTTTTCTTGTTCATACAACTAGTTTTCGGGTTCTAGTAGAGCATTAACAAGCTAACGGAATTTTTTCGTGCATCTAACTTGGTTATGTACATTGGTTAAGCGCGTCAGTTTTCAGCCCCACACAAACACTAGTTGCGAAGCTAATATGAAGCTACTTTGTTTTACCGGTCTGGAATTGGTCATTTTGGCCAGCCCCTACAACCTGACATACTTTGCGAAATACACTCATTTACAATCAAATTTGGTTTTGTGGGAGATTCATCTGAAACGCATCTGCATCTCCTACTCGTGATGCTTCCAGGCAAATGAATATACTACACCAGGTCAAGTCATGTTTCAGTTGGTACGCAGTACATGCATAAGGTTGCTGAAAATTTTGCGGCTGCCGACGACCGGTATCTTGCTAATTTCGTACAATTCGGTTTGAAGTAGAACATAAGGTTGACGTTAACTCGGGGACTTTGCCTACCAGATGAGCTCCGACATGGGCGAAACCAGTCGTGGGCTGTCGAAGAATTTTCAGCAACCTTATGAGTAGTGCACTGCATATAAACCTGACATACTCTTTTCGCATGAACTTATGGTCAGGTTTCCCGCGCTTTTCTTGTTAGAAGTCATGAATGTTGTAGATGGACTCATCGAGTGGTGAAATAATTGGAATTCACTGCATGCACTTTCAAAAGTACTAAGTTATCGATTTGTCGAAATGTGTGCTTGGATAAGTTTGCTGTTGGTTGATGGTTCACCAAGTTCGGCGAACAGATCAACTACCAGCTGATCAATCAGCAGTTAGCTGAACATATGTAGGAGGGAGGAGAGGGAAAAATCTATCCTGAAGGGGGATCATGGGCTCCAGATTCGAAGGCACCAATTGCTTACATGAAGTTTGAAACAGTTTTAATTAATCTGTACAAATCTATCATATCTGTTGTTGGTGATAGATGTACAGTCAAGAAATATGTGATGATAGTGTAAGATGCGTTTCGTCTTGTTTTTTGGGCTTACTGGTAAAGTGGCAGTCTGTGGTGAAAGTAACTGGTTGCACCTTGTGTTCCCGCTACCGTGTTTCTGTAGTTTGCACACGTTGCAATGCATGATAACTGTACCACGTTCTAAGATCTAACTATGCGTGAGAATCTAGGAAACTTACGATTTAAAAGAGTCACATTCTCCCTGTGTCGCTGTATTACCGCTATACACGGCTTGTGTTGCCCAATACCAGAAGGAACAATCAGACGACTAAATGGAAATAAATAATGGTTAGCAAACTTTATGCTCGTGTTCCGGACTTGTTCATGAAAAAGTCTGCAAGCATGGGACCTAGCGAGGGTTTCCATGTGGCACCATCTTTCTGTTGGCATGCTTCGCCGGTGTCGCGGTTTGCCCGTTGTGTCCTCTCCCTGCAGACTTGTTTATAAGCAAGCTGAAATCCAACCATTAGGTTCACTGATTCAACAAGTTACATTCTATTTTCCTTACTTATTCGACATTCCTATGCCTGCAGTAAATGGACCAAGTCCACCTCTATCTTGGAATCCTTCAACTCAGTTCATTATAACATTCAGTTTAATCTGGAACACGTTTAAATTGAGAAGAGTTGACGGAAGGGCAACTGCCAGCGTAAAAAGATTTTAACACAAGGCCTCATTTTGTGGTTCAATCCGAACTATTGTAAGTGTATGTTCGGTCTGTCTTGTTGCAAGAATTGATCTTGTCACTGTTTACCTGTTTGTTCATCGGGCTAAAGCTTCCTCTGTCAAGTTCCCGTCCTGCAGCACTTCTCCTTTGATCGAGCTATCCGAGATTGTCCTGAGGAAGAGTGAAGTTCTGACTGGCCTTTCTCCAAAGCGTGCTCTTAATGGTCGAAGCGATACTGGGGGGACAGAGACGGTAGAGGAAAAACGGATACACTTTAATCACCCTAAACCACATATCATAACGGCTATCAAAAGTCTATTCGAGTAAACTGGGTTTGAAATAATAATAATAATAATAATAATAATAATAATAATAATAATAATAATAATAATAATAATAATAATAACAATAATGTTTGTTGATAGCTTGGCATTTCTCTGGTTTTCATAGTTTGCGGTATATGATGTGTCAAACTTATACACGAGGGATAGTTACGTGGCATCTGTGTGTGCATCAGGTAGTGGAGGCACCAAGACGGCTTTGCCTTACGTGTGGCGGCAGTACGAATGCGACAGGCGGCCAGAGAGACCAGGCAAAAGTNTATATATATACCTCACACTCAAAACTAGGGTCCTGGCTTCTTAGATGGCTTGAGAGTTACGGGTATTCAGTCAAAGTACGAGCCACGGAACTGAGAATTCAAGGTGCTTATGTTGGGAATTAGTGCATCGAGATATGATCAAGGTTGATGTAAGTGACATCAAAAGCCACAGATAGCTCAATACCGGTTTCATTGTGTATGACGATCATCAGCTGGGTGTAAACCACGAAATCAAGACCTTCAATCCTTGACCAAGTTTAGTTCGTTTAACTGCTCAGCGAACTGCAACTAAATGCTCCGAATGAAGTAAACATGAAGTAAACTGTACTGGATGGTACCTTGTTTCAAAAAGAATGCCTTAAAAAGTGCGGTTTTCCTCTTTAGTTCACCAGGTCCATCGTTGTGATGGAAGTGAATATCGATCAACTGCATGTGTCCAGCTGCATAACACATGAATACTGATTTCTAGACAGGTTTCTGTATTTCTTGCAGATGTTTGCAAAATCTGTAGACTTCACATTCGCACGGCTCTGGTGTGAAAGGTCTTCCTCCTGACCTGGTCCATTCATTCATGTTAGTCTATGCAAGAGATTGGAGATACTGGTTCCGAGTTTCAGTTATTGGTGCCCACCAGCAGTGCAAAGCTTCGGGTATGACGGAATTCGAATCCGCACATCTGAACGTGTTACAACTACTCCACAAGAGCATATCCGAATCGTCAAGTCTGAACGGAGAAACGTGTTTACGCTTGAGCGATGTGATTAGTTTACCCAGTGCCCGGAAAGGTAACCCAGTAATTGCACTGATTGCGTCCACAGACTGACCCAACTCTCAGGGCTCCTCAATCAGGTAGGATCACGGACATCATCAGTAGCGCCGGTGGGTTTTTGTATTATCCTGACACACTACGTGGTAATGTTGCCAATTTTATTGGTGATGAGGCAAATTGTCCAGCTCGCTGAAAAAACGTGGGTCAACAAACCTTTTTATAGTGAGGAGAGTCGTGGAAAAGTGTTCTGACCTCCGGACGTCTCAAGCAGTTTTCTGCAACTTTGTACGATTTCCCAGTACTTTTAATTCGCATACAAAAACAAAGATGACTGAGCGTGCGTCCTAACTTACGGATGAGCTTTCAAGGTTCATAAGACTGACTTAAGATAGTATAAACGAGAGAATCAGTTGAATTCTCCGTCAATAACTCAAACTGCAAGTGGTGGTTGACCCTCGTATGAATCCCATTCGGCACTCAAATATCAAATAAGACTGGTGAGACGTCGAGACCTATCTCCATGTATTGTACTTCGGGAAGGGCTAAACGAATAATTTGTTGTCAAAGAGTTTTAGAGAAGTAGTGCCATAGCTAGGGAATTGCTTCGTCTTCAAAATTGTCCCAGCTAAAACATTAGGTGGTATTTGTGTAACACATTCAGTTGAAAGGTATTATGAACGAAATGTGCAATTCAGTACCGCGTTATCACCATTCTTACTGACAAATCACAATAGCAATAATAAGGGTCAATTTCTCTTCTGCACTAAATTTTCTCCCAGATACTACTTACAGCTTTCAGTTTATTGAAAGAAATGCAAACAGTTTGAGAAGCCTTGCAAGCAGATACTTAGCGCTTCTTTATCTAGAGCATTTAGGTCATCGTGGAGTTCTAACAAGGATATCTTGTGATGGATCCAGCTGGGACACGAAATGATAGGATAAGCCAATGTTATTGTGAGCAAAATAGACAGACAATCACACTGAACTCCCAAATACAAAGACGCTGAAGTCACAAAATGTGGGCCAATGCAATACTCAGCTTTTCCGTTATCAGGCTGAGAATCTTGATGATCTGTCATAAACTTTATTGTATCATTTTTGGTCATAAATTCTTCAAACCAAAACTCGAAGTGCTCGAGATCTCCTCAACTGTCATTAAGGATAGGCATGTTATCCTCAAAAGTATAACAAAAAATGAGAGGCGGGTCGTTCAAACCTGACTTTCTGGATGGAAAATGCTGTTTGAATTAGGGTGGCATTGGTGTGAACTGGCATTTTTGTAATAAGGGAAGGACAGAGGTCAGTCGTGAACAGCACCGTCGTGGTAATTACGTAGTGAATTTCCGGACCTTCGGGCTCAAGAGCTTTGGTCTTCTCATTTTCCCCTACCGCGTGGTCTTAGAAGGATAGCTGATATTACTGTAGATTCCATGCAACTATCCTATAGCCAGTGTTACCGCCTACAAGTTGATACGCACGAGTAGCTGGTGCAGCGAATTTTGAATGAATTTGTTCTTTTATATCCCACGAGGTCTGATGACTCGATAACCAAGTTGTTGATACGAAGGTGCATTTTTCACACACCACTGTCAAATTTGAGCGACCAGATGTAAACACATAATATTCTAACAGTAATATGGGAACAAAACTCACAAGCTTACTAGAAACTCTTCGACAGCCCACAACCGGTTTCGTTCTTCTTGGAACATCGTACCAACTAAAACATGAGGCGGCCATTGTGCTCCACATTCAGTTGAAGAACATCATGAATGAGAGATTCACTTGAATCCCCCGTGAAAACAAAACTGATTTGCAAATGACTTTATTTGTCGCAGTCAGTTCAATTCGAGTTCAAGTAGAACATAAGGTTGACGGAAATTCGGAGACTGCGCTTACCTGATGAACCCCAAGAAGGGCGAAACCAGTCGTGGGCTGTCGAATAGTTTTCAGCAACCTTATGAGTAGTTTTTGTTTATGAAACTCCTGAGTTCTTAAAGTCCATTTGAATTTGAAAATACCGTGTCATTGTTTGTTGTGTTATCTTTTCTGCATTCGCTTTATGTTTCAGTTACAATGCTAAACGTTGTTCGGTATGTGAGCGATGCACATGCATATTTTCATTGTTACTCCGTGCTTTCAGGGCATTGGTCATGAGTTTTCGACGTGTCCCTCAGAGAAGACCTTTTGAATAAACGACGCATCCATTGCCAAACCAGAATATCGATTGTCACTCTGCCGATTATAGTGGTCATAACAGCTGATGTCAGCCTTTGTATCGTGTAACCTCGTAACTGGACATTCAACCTGTCTGTCGTGGGCTGTAGTGGTTGGTTCGCGGCAAACTGGCAGTTTTATTTGAAACTATTCGAAAACAGATTTCATTCACTGTTGGTCGTGTCAAAATCAAATTCTATGGGCGAATTGGAGCAAGTACATTACACAAGTCCCAGAAATGTGAACACACACTTTGAGTGGTTTGCTCAAACAAAGACGAAATCTGTTCATAGTATGAGGGGACTAGGTAGTTTCCGAATCAATATTTCTTCCTATCACAATATTGGGAGCCCGTGTACGTTTGACGGTATTTGCTCAGGTATTAACCGAACTTAGCAGTTAGCTTAAGAAATATTTGTTCACTCATTGAAGAGGCTTCATCAATGCGTGGTTGAGTGTGTCATCATCATAATCATCATAACCCTCGACGGCATAACATCAATGTTCAACAGAATGCTCACCTTGTTTATGAAACTCCTGAGTTCTTAAAGTCCATTTGAATTTGAAAATACCGTGTCATTGTTTGTTGTGTTATCTTTTCTGCATTCGCTTTATGTTTCAGTTACAATGCTAAACGTTGTTCGGTATGTGAGCGATGCACATGCATATTTTCATTGTTACTCCGTGCTTTCAGGGCATTGGTCATGAGTTTTCGACGTGTCCCTCAGAGAAGACCTTTTGAATAAACGACGCATCCATTGCCAAACCAATATCGATTGTCACTCTGCCGATTATAGTGGTCATAACAGCTGATGTCAGCCTTTGTATCGTGTAACCTCGTAACTGGACATTCAACCTGTCTGTCGTGGGCTGTAGTGGTTGGTTCGCGGCAAACTGGCAGTTTTATTTGAAACTATTCGAAAACAGATTTCATTCACTGTTGGTCGTGTCAAAATCAAATTCTATGGGCGAATTGGAGCAAGTACATTACACAAGTCCCAGAAATGTGAACACACACTTTGAGTGGTTTGCTCAAACAAAGACGAAATCTGTTCATAGTATGAGGGGACTAGGTAGTTTCCGAATCAATATTTCTTCCTATCACAATATTGGGAGCCCGTGTACGTTTGACGGTATTTGCTCAGGTATTAACCGAACTTAGCAGTTAGCTTAAGAAATATTTGTTCACTCATTGAAGAGGCTTCATCAATGCGTGGTTGAGTGTGTCATCATCATAATCATCATAACCCTCGACGGCATAACATCAATGTTCAACAGAATGCTCACCTACCTCACAATGCTTGACTGCTGGATGGTTGGGTTGGTATTTGGTGACGAAACTTTCGCCGGCTAATTATATTGCCCGGTTAGCAGATCACTAGCAGTCTGATCAACTATCAGAAGTCAGCCTATACCAAAAGCCGAGAAGCGCTGCACACCTGTTTCGTCTTTATTGAGGACCATCAGCGCTGCGCATCTCACGAATAACCAGGGTGATTGACCCCCTTTACTTTTGTATGAAGGAACTATGTGTAGCTTAGAACGAAAAATGATTTACACGACGAGCGAGCCTTTTATCGGCTAAGTAGTCAGTCGAGAAGTCAGTCTACACATGGTCACGAGACTGAATTCCGTGAATAAAGGATGTGTCTAAGTGAAAGTTAGTTACGCTGTCGCTCAGTCGCCCGTGGTCGAAGGGCTTGGTCCTCAATTACGATTCAGGAAGTTGCAGCTTCGAACAACCCTGAAAACTGATGATATGCATACTACTGATGACTCCAAAATAATGAATCAGTTGTACAGTGCCTCTCGGCCTTTGACTTTATTTATGGGACGAATTGTCAATAAAAAAAGACGAGGTCATTTATCCTTCCCAATCCTGTATTGGTCCAGCGAAAGTCCCAAATTTTCCCGCGGGCGTGGGGATCCGGTTAAAACTGTAGCTTTTTCTCTGCTTGTGTTTCGATAGTTTTGTACGGAATCTGGCTTTAAATATGAATTCCAGCCCAGTCAATTACATGGCCGGTGCGTTATGCGATGGAATCCCCATCTAGCACAAAGAAGTAGGCTATGAAATAAGCGAAATCAGCCTTAGGATGGCTTACCAAAAAATGATTGCAGCCAATTCGCCAGCATGGTCTCTGCAGAGACGGTTCATTTGCATATCGCCGTGGCCCACCATGACAGGTAATCGATAATAGGCTTGTGTTATCAGGCGCCACGACATCGTTTGACCTGTGGGCGTTTGTGATACGTTTAGCACCTGGTTTGGTTGTTTGGACATCCCGGCGCACCTCAGGATTCAGCTGTTTGACTTGTGTGCTGACGCACCATCAGAGGAGATCCAAAATACGGTACAGTTCTGCAGGTAGTCTCAAAGATGGATGAGTGCACGTGACTACAGGAAACCTAGACACAGGTCAGTCAAGTCTCTGAGATCGCCTTTTGATTCATCTTGAGTTGAAAAAAAGCTATGCAAATAGAAAGTGCCTTCCCTTGGACACATTCGCACTAATGTGCAATGTTATTATTGTATGCACTTTGTTGGAGTATGGTACTACTTACTTGTGTCTGTTGATAGATCGACTAACTGCATTCTTCGGATTAGTATTTTGGACGTGCGTTATTACAGAAAACGTCATCTCCTTGTAGTGCACCAATGTACCGCATAGTAGTGCTCGAAGACCTATTTCTGCTGATCAAGCAACATTTTTGGTTTGATGGTAGAAATACGTGTCTAGTTCTCAAATCAATGGATTCATCGCTTTCAATAGAGGAGAATGTCGGTAGCTCAGGTAGCGTAGATGGTCGTTGGCTTGTTCGCTGAGCTGGGAAATTTGGTTGCATACGTTTCATCACCAATCGAGGTGACATCATCTGTGCGTCGTTGTGCGTAGCGGTGGGTTAGTGGTTGTGCCCACCACTACGCCCACCGCTACGCACAACTACGCACTGATGATGTCACCTCGATTGGTGATGAAACGGATTCATCGCTCTTTATTTGTAAGGCATTTGAAATTTTTACAGTCAACCCGGCTGGATATTTACCTGAGGTCCATTTGAAGAATCACTGGTTTTCTTGTAGTCGCTCTGTGGGCTGATCCTTTTTATGTCTGATGAACTGGAGCACTTGGGCATATATACATATATACATACATACATACATACATACATACATACATACATACATGCATACATGCATACATACATACATACATACATACATGCATACATGCATACATACATACATACATACATACATGCATACATGCATACATACATACATACATACATACATGCATACATGCATACATACATACATACATACATACATGCATACATGCATACATACATACATACATACATACATGCATACATGCATACATACATACATACATACATACATGCATACATGCATACATACATACATACATACATACATGCATACATGCATACATACATACATACATACATACATGCATACATGCATACATACATACATACATACATACATGCATACATGCATACATACATACATACATACATACATGCATACATGCATACATACATACATACATACATACATGCATACATGCATACATACATACATACATACATACATGCATACATGCATACATACATACATACATACATACATGCATACATGCATACATACATACATACATACATACATGCATACATGCATACATACATACATACATACATACATGCATACATGCATACATACATACATACATACATACATGCATACATGCATACATACATACATACATACATACATGCATACATGCATACATACATACATACATACATACATGCATACATGCATACATACATACATACATACATACACGTACATACATACATATATGTATACGTATTGTCTTGAAATTTGATCAGCTACTCGCATCTCTGTAACTTTCAGTCACTAACGGACCGCGTTCATCGCGGCAACTAAAAGGACTCTCTCTATAGCCCGGTAATTTGACAGGTATATGCGAATATTTCGTCTGAGCTCTTAACGTGTTTTAAGGATCCGTTTTGTCTAGCTGCCTTTAGGACCTATCCCAGGTCAGGTCAGATTAACCGGATACCAAGAGGTTGGATACATATTACCGGATTTCTAGTGTTAAGAAATGCTACAGCTTCCAGCAGTAAGAAACGCAGAAGTTTCTCTGTACTTCACCAGTTTCTGTATTTGTCGAAGATTTAAGGACGTGATATATTTCTAGGCATGAAAGTGGTACCCATTCAAGGAAGCACCCATCTTTTTGTCTTCCGTAGTACCAGGCTTAGTATTCTTCATCACGACCAAACAGAACCGTCAGCGAAGAAAGATTGAGAAGGGTTGGCGTCTGGAACGCCATTTGGTTCGGTTTATCCGAAATGGGACAACACGCAGTGACCTTCCTGATGATTTCCGAATTCTGCGATCATATTTCCAAACCATTAGTGTTCCCCAAGAACACATCTGTTTTCCCCTTTCATACTAGAGGAAAGCAATCTTTTTCAGTCTGGGTCCAAATTTCGCCAATGGACACGTTCGCTTGACTCCTGGCCCACATGGATCGCGCCATCTGTCTTCTACGGAAACCCGTGCGGTATTTTGTTGTGGTCAAAATTGGTGAAAAAATCAATGACCAATATCGAGCCACGGACAAGGCTTGACCACATGGCCGTAATCAGTACCACATGGAACGATGCTCTGTTCGGTTCTGTTGGACTGGCGCCTTTGTTTTTGTATTTTCACTGGAGTTGTTCAGTCATGCGTTCGAGTAAATCCGAACTTGGTCATAACACACAGATGATGAGAGACAGGCGCATGCTGGTCTTCCGTTCGGCGACCAGACCTGGCGCCCAGTCATTCGAATTTTCAATTGCGCCTGGAGGTTGAATCCACGCATAAGTCAGTTTTAAAAGTATCCGACTTGCTAGCAATGTAGAACATCAATCACCTCGCTGATTTTGGAAGACAGAATAACAACGACACAGTCCAAGTTAGAGCGGCTAAAATCAATTTATAAAGAAATGACAAGTATGCTGAGGAAAAAAGTGCTCTATTGCACTTGCGGCCAGATTCCTTGGCCTGGAAGCAACTCTGTCACAATTTAGCTTTTGGTGCATTCATTGGTAAGTGATCAGGTGGTGGTTGATTTGTTTGCCGAATTTGGCAGACATTTCGTCAAAGGAGACATCGTTGCGCTGTTGCGTGAAATGATGATGTCTTCAGTCATCGCGACCCTAAAAATGCCAGGCGAAGTTGGCCCTACTGGAAAGGTGGTCTTAATCTGGACGGAAGGATAATCATGGTAGATTTTTTTGCTGACAGATACGATCCAAAGTGTTCATACCATTTCCCTGCTGTGCGTAATATTTCTCTTGTCATGTGCAGCAAGCTCAACCTTAGTCCACGGAGCATTTTCGTGATTGCAAGTCCCCGTTGGAGCAATCGCTAGGTTAGTGACACAAGGACATGCTGTGAATCATCGTATTAAAATAACGCTGAAGTGATTTTTCGGTCTTCCTGTACTAGAAGCCAAACAGAGAAAGTCCCATCGGTAAATCCTACGGTTGCTTAGTAGTTCAGTCTGATAAAAAGAGAACCAACTTCAGGAGTGCGAAATTTGACCGCCCTGTCCAAACGAGTCCATCATCGTCCGGTGCAACTCAGCGAACTTTGATCAGCATGTGGTGGGTGTCTTAGGAAGGGTGTTCAGTAGTTGTAGGAACATGCTATCAGAGCACCAGTGAAAAGACAACAAAAGGGTAAGATCAGACTACATTACTGATGTGTTGCAGTTATCTGTTTCCATAGACCATACAAATTCCGACGACTTGCATTTAATGTGTATCTCGAAAGTTTCCAATCAGATTGGCGTTAAGACAACCCCAACTGACCAGTCCAAATTCCGATCAACTTGATTCTGATGAAGTGAGAGGTGTAAACTGCTGCCTTCTCGCATTGAGATTAGCCATCTTCCTGCCCAACCAAGCACTCTTAATATGAGTTTCAACAAATAGAGGTGTGAATAGGTCTTCTAGGCCTAAACATTATGTCTTCCATATATATGTGACTAGAGAAACTTCGTGTAGCCAGCAACTCGCAGCTTCAGACTGCATTATCCCGATTGTGAAGACCAGCTGGCAGTAGATGTATGACTTGGAGTCATACAGAAACAAACCTTCATGAAGTAGCTGAAGAAAAGCGGTTTACTGTACTTTCCGTAGTTAGTGTACTTCAAAAACGAACACAGTGCCTCATCTATATAGTAGTGTCTTCTGTTATAATTCACCCTATGATAGTACCTGTGTTTATTCGGCCATTTCAGGTGTTAAGCTGTCCATTCCTCCCTAGTTCAACCATCGCTGAAGTGCGAGTAAATTCCTGCACCTCTTAATATAGTAAGAAGAAGGCAGGCAAATAGCGTCAATCTCCTCTACAGATCGATAAAAATTGCCTCCTTGGAGAGATAGTGTCTCGTGGACAAGGCCATTTATTCCAAGCATAATATGATACCTGTTGCAGTGTAGTGCGCCCCTTCGTAAATATACTGCAGTTTGCCTTTCAGACTATGCAGGATTTTCCATTTGTTCCTAATGCGAACGACCACAGTTTGTCCGACCTTTACATTCAGTGAGAACAAACTGAGAAGTAAGTTAAGTTTAAAACAAAGCAATAATGGAGCAGAAGTGACGGAGGGCGTACAGCTTAGTAGGAACGATTTTCAACGGCCCTGACACAAGCTGATAGATTTCCATCCAGCTAGTGTTGGGGACGGTTAAATTCCAGGTAAATATAGGTGAGTTTTTAGGGTACGGGATACCCAATACAGCATGTTTCGGGCCCAGCCCTATAGGTCACGCGTAGAGCAAACAAATGAACTAGCGAAATTCACAACACCTTAAAACCCGTGTTTGGTTTGTCCCTCAGGTGAGTAACCTGGAAACAACGTTGCGCGTGGAACCCACCAACTGTTCGATCTCTTCTAATGAACATTTCACCTAATACTTACTTGAAAATGACACCCATAGTCCATTTTTGGAGGTGGCCTTTCTATATTCTCAGAAGTTAGTAGGGAGAAAGCAACAGTTGCACTTAAATTCCTCACTCAACTGTCACAACAGTCTGTGACAAGCGGTCGGGAGAAAAAAAGCCAGAGAGGAAACATCTTTCTGGTATTGCGACAACCTTCTCATGTATATGACAATGTACGCCTTGAGTATCTAATCGTTTCTTAAAAGCAGCAAGTGAGGGATCTGTTGTTGTTTTGCTACGCCGATTAAGAAATGCTTTCGGCTTCAGTCAGCTGAACCGATGAACCGGCTTCAGTGGATAACCTTGGAAATCAGTGCTATATTGATTTTCGCCTGGATAGTTGGGCTGATTCGGTAGTTCCTAGACGACAATCAGGTCACATTGATGTCTCTGAAGCTACCCGGAGAATATTCTAAGGATCATCATTTTTCCTGCACCTTTTTAGGAGTTACTAGTTTGGTTGTTTTGCTTATTTTGAGGCATGACCATCTATCGTCTGGTTTTCCCAAACCTGGGTGGCGTTCTCGTTTTTGTGATGAGAATGTGGCTAAACGTCAGGTAACTGTGATGCTCCTTTCCATCCCAATACTCGACCAACAGGTACAAGGTAATCGTTCTTCAGGATGGATCACCTCACACATGAGGTCGGCTATAGGTCCTGTTTAGCCAGGATTACCCTCAGTTTTAGAACGGAGACACGTTCCATCCCTTGAGTCCTCACAGGATATGTATGAGTCTTTTTGTGGCGCAGTCGGATGTACAGAGGTGTCGACACGCTTCATTTATGAAGCATAATCACTGACCATATAATTTTAAGAAGCGTGGAGAATCAATAGCCTTTCAGGTTTTCATATCCCTGGCCGAAAGTGAGAAGTTCTCACTGAGGGCGGGGATCAGATCAATAACGAGGGTCGAAGACAGTCCATGTCCATTAACCGACCTATTGAGGTGGATCGCGCCCCTTTTGAACTGGGAGTAAAAGCGTTTGCCTAACATGTACCGTCTACTATCTCCAATCTGGGACGTCTATTATTCGTCCTGACAGCTAATTCACCACATCTTATGTTTTTCTAAGGGTGTGGTGGTCAATACAGTCACTACTTTCGCAGAGGCTGGATACATATTACATCAGTTTTCCTAACGACATTTGTTGTTTTGCCCATTCAGTTTGTTGCTAGGTTAACATGAATTTACAAGGTAGAAACTGTGCATCACATCCTAATCACTTCTCTCTTTGTTGATTGATTAGTTCTTGCATTTGCACGCAACTGGGAGGTCTACAGTGGTGGACAAAAAGTTGTTGGTTGGTTGGTTTCTCCCTAAAGGATAGATCTAGCTGTATCTGAATTTGCAAGTCGTTGCTGATGAGCAACACATTGCTGCCCCTAAAAAACTTCATAAACGAGAGGTTCAGCTGGGTTCCGGGTGAGTCTCTCCTGTCAAAACCAAGTTGGTACGCAAATGAGTATATTTCGTCGGAGTTAGTGCTCAGAATGCGGTTTTTCTGAGGATTTTATGCCTTTGGGAGTGTAGTTAAGGCTGGGGAAGGGCCATTTGTTTTCAGCTAACGTTCGGAGTTAGAGAATGCGGTTTTTCTGAGGATTTTATGCCTTTGGGAGTGTAGTTAAGGCTGGGGAAGGGCCATTTGTTTTCAGCTAACGTAACGTAAAAATAAATAAATAAATAAATAAATAAATAAATAAATAAATAAATAAATAAATAAATAAATAAATAAATAAATAAATAAATAAATAAATAAATAAATAAATAAATAAATAAATAAATAAATAAATAAATAAATAAATAAATAAATAAATAAATAAATAAATAAATAAATAAATAAATAAATAAATAAATAAATAAATAAATAAATAAATAAATAAATAAATAAATAAATAAATAAATAAATAAATAAATAAATAAATAAATAAATAAATAAATAAATAAATAAATAAATAAATAAATAAATAAATAAATAAATAAATAAATAAATAAATAAATAAATAAATAAATAAATAAATAAATAAATAAATAAATAAATAAATAAATAAATAAATAAATAAATAAATAAATAAATAAATAAATAAATAAATAAATAAATAAATAAATAAATAAATAAATAAATAAATAAATAAATAAATAAATAAATAAATAAATAAATAAATAAATAAATAAATAAATAAATAAATAAATAAATAAATAAATAAATAAATAAATAAATAAATAAATAAATAAATAAATAAATAAATAAATAAATAAATAAATAAATAAATAAATAAATAAATAAATAAATAAATAAATAAATAAATAAATAAATAAATAAATAAATAAATAAATAAATAAATAAATAAATAAATAAATAAATAAATAAATAAATAAATAAATAAATAAATAAATAAATAAATAAATAAATAAATAAATAAATAAATAAATAAATAAATAAATAAATAAATAAATAAATAAATAAATAAATAAATAAATAAATAAATAAATAAATAAATAAATAAATAAATAAATAAATAAATAAATAAATAAATAAATAAATAAATAAATAAATAAATAAATAAATAAATAAATAAATAAATAAATAAATAAATAAATAAATAAATAAATAAATAAATAAATAAATAAATAAATAAATAAATAAATAAATAAATAAATAAATAAATAAATAAATAAATAAATAAATAAATAAATAAATAAATAAATAAATAAATAAATAAATAAATAAATAAATAAATAAATAAATAAATAAATAAATAAATAAATAAATAAATAAATAAATAAATAAATAAATAATCAATGCCATTATAATTGAGAGGCTGAGTTATCCGTTCAGCCTCTCCGAAAGGTCCCGTCCCGCACTTTGTCCAGTGACTTCAAAACAGTTGGACGATTCATATTCAGCTGATCGACTTCATTGGTTCTCGGGTTATGGACCTCCCTCTCATTGGATTCATCAATAAAATAGGAGACTCAATGAATGATTCAATGGGTCGCTGAAAACAAAACACAAGCAAGCGTCCGAGGTAATTTGAATTCAAAATGGATGTAAGAAGTTGGGTGTTGTAAGGTTCAGTCACTTTCTCCCACGGTGGTCTTTCCTGTGGTAATCGGTTTACAGGTAACTATAGTATATATTGCACATTTTCGGATACCTAAAACGATAGTTTACCACCAAAGCAAGCTTTCGAAAAACGAAGCGAAATGTACCCCGAAGTTAAGCACTAACGTGAACTGAATTCAGCAAAGTGGCTCAAATCACCTCATGGGGTTTGAACGTAAAACTAAACAAAGTGGTTTGTTCCATAGTTAACTGCAGGCTTTTTCCGGATAATTTTCGGCGAATTTTATCCACCAAATTGTGTTATCTGATGGTAGCATTGGGATATTTTGAAATTTGAACAGAAATTTCAACCTGAAAGTTTAGTTATTCTACGTTGAAAGTTTGACAATCATTACCAGTATGCATCTCATGAGTCCCTATGGTAAATGGAACCCGCGACCTTCCCTTTAGATTGAGTGGTATGTTCCACGGCCTAATTCGTTTGAACCCAAACACCGGATGAATATTCGCTACACGTTTTGATCGAATCTGAGTATGCTCATTGGCTGAACAACGAAGTATGAAGCATGATTTGAAACAGAGGAACAGCTGTGTGATAAATACCTTTTGTTTGCGGTGCTATCCCAAATTAGCCCACGAGGATCATTTTACTCTTGCATGCAAACAGAACCGAGCAACAACAGTGACAAAAACAACAAGGTTCATCGTCTACCCAGGTAGAAGACAACATTCGCATACATGTGTCAAGAGCACAAGCCACCTTTTGTTCTCTTTGCGAGGTTTCAGTAACAGTACTCGCAAGTTGGTACGTGTAGATACATGTACCAAGGATCATCTGTCTACCTTCTGTGTCTGATAGCTGCGAACCCTGGAGCCTCGCCTTGGCCATTGTCGGATTCTATCTCAATCTTATCTATCACAACTGCGCAGTAGGCAAGTAGGCTGGTAAACGTCTCGTTGACAGTATCTCTCACTTCCCTCCACATGGCGAACCCTATCCACCCCCTAAACCCGGTCACTTGTTTACGGTCAAAATTGAAATTATGACTGATACAGTGCCCGTGTCCAATGTTTGGGTCATAAGTTTTGTTAATTGTTCTCATTCAAGTATCCTCACCAGGCCACCAACATACCTCCCTCACACTCACACACACACACACACCGACACGTAGTTCGTCTCTCCACTCCTGTGCACTGCGCTCAGTATTTTGGATGCCGTTTATTCCGTATAGGTGGTGCAGGTGGCGATTGTTCACTCCCTGAACTATCGCGATCCCTCTTTAGCCCCCACACACCCATCTACCGCCTCCACTTAACTTGATGGCTCTGTGCGGCGCTCGACCGTGTGCGTCCAGGCCTTGTGTACACACACGTGCACAAGATTGACAAAGAATTTAGAAAAAAAGCACACTTGGCGAATGGAGAGCAGGCAGGCTTTGTCAACTTTGGGCTGCATACCACAAACAACTCAATGGCTGCGATCGATCTGCATCCGTTGCATGCATGATTGACGCCCGGAGGAGCGGGAAAGGCGCAAAAACCTGAGGCTGTTGATGCAAATGGGTGTGAGGCCTGAAAACACACCGTACGCTCGATGGCATGCGCGCTTACCACCCCACGAGGAAGAAAATATGGTACCACTCGAAGCAGTGTACAATAAAGGCCAAATCCAATATAATTGGGCCCAAAACAGTGGAAGTGACCAATCGTTGCAGGAGCATATTTGTCTTAACTCATTATGCCGACCTCATCAGGGTGTATGCGATCGCTCAAGTGTCAAATTTCATTCAATATGAACTAAAGAACATGGATGTGAAAGCTGCGAGCGTTCCCAACACGTCACAAGCTGCAGTTCATTCGCCTGGAACCAGGATAACTCATCAGACTGCTCACGCTTCTAAGCAAGGATCATGTGTTTGCCTTCTCCACTTGGAATTTTGCTCCAGTTGAATCCGAATTGCTCCAGCTACGAATGGAACCTATTTCCAGAAGTGTGCCTTCCAAACTTACCTTTAAGTCACTGAACCCGTGTTTGCAAAAACTGGTTGATAAACTGACCTGAATTTCAGGGCAGTTAAACTTGGATCACATCTTGTTTAAAGCAGTATGAGAAGTGGTGCTGTTTTCACCAGCGATTTCAAGTTACGTACATTCCTAGGACAGTAGAAAGGGCCAGTAAACCCTACAGATGGTGTTGTATAGAACCATGTGATCGTAGCCAATCAAGGTGAAATTTTTAGGTATTCATTCTTTGACAACCTGCATCTGAAATGGAGCCTTCACCGACTCAGGTTCGATGGTTATCCAATTGTGCTCAGCTCACACGATAATCATTTTAGCCTGGATATGCATTCTTTAGTCAGACAAGTCTCCCCAAACAAGTTCGTCCCAGTCAGTGTGTGTTTAAGCCATACCGAAAAGGATACTGTTATTGTATCGGCGGAGCCAAATGGAGCGGCCAGAGTAAAATAGAACAAGAATGCATATGAATTATATATGAACTGTTTACTGAGCTACCTTCGACTTATATTCTTAGCTTCCGAGCAAGTGTGTTGGGTTCACGTGTGTCTCAAAGTACTCTATCCTTCTGAGATTGATAGTTCGAGTATACGTAGGGAGAAAGGTGTGGAACTGGACTCGAGCAGCTTACCCCCCGCTTATCAGACGGACGTTCTGTCGACTGAGCTGTCAAGGTCATGCCTATGCACTTGAACTTCACAGTTGGCTGGCCGCCCAGTGAATTTTCAATGAATAAGCAGTTGACTTCCACAATAGACTGGCTTGAGTTAGAATTTACACACAACTGGAGTGGAAAATCGACTGTTAATAGGATCCACAGTGGCCCGATTGTTTGAACAGGCTGCGACCTTTCCTGTGATATGGGGGATTAGTCTGTCATTCTGCCATCTCATTTCCCGTTGAACGGTTTGACTGGTCGTCCATGGATTTCCTCACTCACTCAGGGGGCATCATCTACGATGAAATATCCAGAAAAAATTTTTGATATGTGACTTTTGACCGAATGTCAGGGCTATCTTGCATTGCTTAGCCATGTAAGCTGATCGATTGCACGGTTGCCATTCCCAAATGTCACGCATAGTTTGAATTGTCGAGGTGTAGCATCTTGGAGTTGTAGATGGCATTCAGAGAAGACTACTGACAGCTTGTTCGAAATCGGTATTATCAAGTCAGTACGGCCAGGTGGGATACGTAAGTGACATCTTACAACTGTGAGCGGCATTCAGAAACAGAACAACTTACAC